ACTCTGAAATTTTCCAACTATATCACACCAACCTGTGTGACCTTGTATCGATCACGTTGCTACCCTCATTGAAGCAAACCAAGTCTGGTGTAAATTTAAGCACCCGATTTTGTCCCACCCATAACCGTTGTTTGCAGCAGCAAGAAACCGGCTATACGTGTAATGACGCCGCAGCCTGGTTGGAATGCGTTGTCAACGAGGGTGGGCTTCGTTATCAGCACTTCGACGGTTGTTAGATTACAGCAGTCACCTTAGACCTAGGACGAAAGACTTCATATGAAGACGCCTTACTGATCGGTTCACCGTCTGCCATAAACTTTGACGAACCGTTCAATCGGCCTGATGAAGTTTTGGGTCAAAATCGAAACCTTACTCAGTTAAAAACTACCGATAGTTTACCAAGCTCTTCTAAAACGATGAATTCTCAATCAGCTCAAAACTTTTCCGGAAAATCTGAGCTGGACGCGAGTCCTTTTTTCTTGCTGATACACACCAGGAAGGTGTGAACCTGCTTGGTACCGTATGTCTAAGGACCACGTGTCCTCATATTATTCTTGTTGGACAAGATCACACCAGCGGACAGCTGACCAATTCTAACAGGGAGGAAAGACTCCCTGAACAAGACTATCCATGAACTGACCAAACGATTACCACAATCAGCTGAATGAATGCTAGACCTTAGAGAATATACATTACGAATTCTAGACCTGTCTTGACAACAATCAAATCCTTCGTAGGTTCCGAATCTCACGCTGCTCCCAACCGAGAGCGACCGTCGCAAGCAAAACGGGTAGCTGACGCGTTTGAGGAGTGAATCTTCCACCGCTGAAATCATGACTGGGAGCGTTTATTTACCTGCATTCGGATGGTTATCAGTACAGTACTGTTCACTCAGTAACAGCTGGTTACAGTAAAGCATGGTGTGGCTTCAAGTGGCTCACTACCCAGTTACACCGCCCAAAATATCTTCACAAGATATGAAGCGAATATGAAGCGTTTTTCACAAGATGGTTTGGCCAGGGTATCCAGTGTTTCAAACACTATCGTACTGTGAGGCATACGTGCCCAATGCCTTCGAACTATCCCTACAACGCACTTTCACTGGGGCCGTTTACCAGTAGCTATCAGCAGATGTTTCACCCACCTAATTTTGATGGCTATTTATTAGGCAGTGTAAGACATATCACGCACGGTAATCATAACGTGGATAACCCGACTTGGAACATCGCGTCTCTGATCAGTTTCAAGGGAGCAATTTGTCAACGTTCAATGAAAATCCCAGCGTAGCTCCCCCCGGATGTGATTTTAGTCTCTGCTCCCCACCTACACACATCGGGGACAGCAGCTGTTCTAACGCCGCCCCGCAAAAATGCAATGCTGTCATGGTAAGAGTCGATACACAGTACTGGGAGGATCCCAGGTCGGATGTCAGTCGTAACGGCGGTGCGCGTATGATGCAAGATCACCACTTGGACACAGCTGGTTCAGATGGGTGGGTGAGTGTGACTAAATTGTTCAACGCGTGTTTTTGTTTGTTTGTTCTGATCCCCATAGGCGCATCACAAATGCGCAAGCCAGCATGAGCGACCAGGACACCACATACGTAGCATCTGGGTAGAATGTACCCATTCTACAACCTTGGTCACTTGTTCAAACGCGTCCAAGACACTGGTACGTCCACCCACGTTTCACGAACAGAAAGGTCCCCAAGATTCTTGGTCAGCGTGAAATTAATAACCCTGATGTCAGCTACGACACGAACAGTTCATCCACTGTACATGCATGTGTTCATCGCACGCTCGAACAGGTGCAACATACATCAAAATGATCGAATTTGAATTCGACTAGAAGGTATCATGTGGGACGTAATCTGAGACGGCCATATCGTTGACACTTTGTTTTGATGGTCGAGGTCAACAATGACAAAGGCTGTAAACTAATCGATCAACTGAATACCAGTTTGGCGTTTGGTTCAGTTTTTCTACTGTCGGGCAATGTGGTGGCACTGTACTAGAGAGAAAAAATTGAAAGAATGGTGACCGAACACAGATTTCAAATGTGGCCCGAAAGGCCAACAGCAAACTAAAACTGAGCTCGAATCTCCATCGAATTCAAGTTTGATAGAAGTGGAGTAGCAGCGTTTTTTGTGATCCAGTAAAATACTCTGAATCGAAACTATCGGATCCGTTTTTCACATAGCAGCAAGCTGCCGGTTCTGTGCCCTTTGCATAACTCGATAATGTAAAGTTCTCATGGCGTATGCAACTTTGGTGCCCAATGAGAATGTATGCAACTCGAAATCTACAGATCGTAGACTGTTCAGAAACAACCGCAATCAAATACTGAGCATTCTGGTGCGATTTATGACTCGGTTTATTTTCCAGTTTTGTTTCGTGGTTAGATGGGATGAAGTACAACTGAATGACCCAGCGAACTTAATTCTATATGCCGGTTGAAGCGTGTGGGCATTAGGTCCGGCCCTCAGCACATGGGCTTTAAAAACCCGAAATGGGTGGCTAGAAAAAGCAGCTAGAAATAATAGCTCCCAACTAAATATCGTTCTTCGGCTGGTTTTTCCAGGTTTCTGCAAACAAACGGTGCCTTGAACATCGTGTTTTCTTTGGGATGAGTAACAGATGTGGTCAGCTGCTACAGCAGCAAAAGACAATGCCTATGTAAAATATGACTAATCTACGTTGCGTAAAAGATTCGATGCCTCTAACAATCCCGCCCGTTTCTAGTTTAAGTTTCCGTTGTTAAAGTAGTAACCCTAGCAAGTAGGCACAGACTAGAATCAAGGATGTCTTAGAACGACAAAGCGCCTGGAAAGCCTAATAAAACGTTAACGAAGAAGCGAGAATTAGTTTGGCAGATATGATTTCTTGATTTTGGAATATCGCTCACTTCAGTAATCATTCCTAGAAAAGATGCGGGCAACAAGGTATGCTTTATTCCGTAAGCATTATTAGGAGACGTCTCAACTTCTCTTCTTCCTAAGACGGGTATTGAAGCACTACGAGGCACCAAATATTCGATGTTGGGATTCACAGATTTGGATGAAAAAGCTGTTGAAACACTCAACCTTTCATTCAATATTTATTGGATTCTTTGAGGAACCCCCAAGGTTTGTTGTCTTTCGTCACTGGTGGCTGATTTGGACCAAATTTTCCTGATCAACTTGGTTCCTTTGTACTAGAAATTTGCGAAATCTTCACTTACTTGCTTTAGACGTGTAGGCAAACTGATGTGATCGTGCTTTTTTAGCTCACGAAGGGAGAATTTCTTACCGGTATGAAATTACCACTGCAGATCCGGGTAAATCTATTGAAACGATCAAACTGGAATTCACTTACTCCCTCAGGAATTGGGTAAAGCAATGTAGTCACTTAGGCAACTGTGCAAATAGATGAAATATTCTCTTGGCAAGCTACTATCGTAGAAAGCTTGTGGTATATATTGTCAGAATGCTTCATCGGTCCCTATGGATTACATAAGCAATCGAACACCGAAGATCAGCATATGAGATTTATGTAGATGTGAGTAGAAAAATCAAACCAAACTGTCAGTCCTTGTGTCACCAAAACATTCAGTCGTAACAAACTCTGAAATACTGCCACGTTGCTCAAACTTAGTCGGAAACAGTCGAAATGCAAATGGCGGGCTCCTACTAAGGATCTCCACGTCAGTAGCACTCGTCAGCACATCAGCACTCCACTCAGTGGTAGCAACTCATTTCCGGTTCATCTAACATAACTTTGCACCAATTTATTCCCTAAGCACTCTTGTTTAGGATAGGTCCCAGCATTTTCCCTTATAGGCGTCAATCTTGACGGAACGTATGGTTCTATATACAGCAGTTGTGATCTCCATTTTAACAACAAACAGCAAGAATTTGAAGAGAAAATTTCTATTAACTTAGATGGTTGATTGCAGCTTCATTTCAAATTTTTCGTGTGCCTAGTGTTTACTGTAAAAACAAACGGCTCTCTGTCCATGTACCGTCCTGTCTAACAGCGACACAATTTTCGGCCAAAAATATTTTTCAGCCAACCGGTGCAAGGCGTGTCCAAGGCAAGCTGGGACGTGAGTGTGGGTGTCCACTGAGCCTAATAGAAAGTGGAGGGTGGTAGGACGTGAATAGGCAGAAAACTAATCTATTCGTCGCAAAACTGTAGGGGGAAGCAGGAGAAAGCGGTGCAGGAAGAGATCAACATTGTTCCGTTCGCTGCCGTGGAAAGCGGTTTTCGGACGACGCAACACGTGCCAGCTCTAGTGTTTTCCTAAGCTCTGTAGCAGCCCTGAAACATAAACAAGTGTCACAGACTTGCGCAAATAAAAAACACCTTCGTGTTGGGGATAGAATGATGTTCGTTTCATTAGGTGTATAGGGCATATTAGGAAACAGGTCACAAGTGGATTTAGATGCGCATGTATTCATACCGGGATTTTAGCAACTACCTTTATACTCTTCTGGAGAAATTACCCGAAATAACACACCAGGTACGCTCATTGTTGCGCACGTTATGACCGTTTGACGAATCATACAGAAACAAACTGAATACGGTCTCACTCTTGTGGACAGTTTCGCCTGAAAGGAAAACAGTCGGTTCCAAGTGGCTATACTAATAAAGGCCACAACAAAATTACCGGGTCGTTAATAGTTAAATCCAGGAGAGCATAGTGCTTTAAAGGGAATAACCGATATCCCATTAAATGAATACAAAGATGGAAACGGTAATGTTCGGCTTTCAGCTTAATTCAGAGTTTTCAGCTGCTAATTGCATTGATTACTTTGTCTTCCCCCCGTATTTGCTTCAGAATGGTTCTTGGACCGAGACTCAATCACACTGAATGCCAAAAGAATGCCACTATTATTCTGGCTACATGACAGCGTAAAAAAATCAAATCATCTTGTTTCGAAGGCCGGAAAATGTTTGCCTGATCTCATGGAATAGAGGTATTTAAACAAAAATGATATAACCTGCCATTCGACTTACTATTCATGGAGAAGCGTGCAACCAAGTGCTGATCCCAGGTGTTCCGGTCGGTTTCGATTCCTCGCTCACAAACATTTCGTGATGATGTGCGGTTGAATTGCTCCACGGAGCACAAGCAACCGAGACAGTATTGAAATTTCGAACAACCGTTTTCGTTGTCTGAGTATATGAGAGAGGATTCCTGCTGGTGTGAGGCATGGTAACATAACAATTGTCCACTTTTGAATGTGCCGATGGCTCAGATGACAAAAAGCAAGAGCTGTTGTTGTTATCGTAGGAGTGAGCATGTTCTGAAGGACGTACCTGTGCGGTTTCGGTTTCAGAGTTCTTCTGAGGTCCTAGTGAATGCATTCCTAGTTGTTTATGGTTAGATAGTGTGTTGAATAACGCCGATCTGTTCGCGTAGCCCGACTGTTTGTCTTCGTCAGCTTTGTAGATATTTTGACCTGTGCTAGGCTGCCAGCTGTCGCTATGCGCGGCCGTACACGGCACATCCCAAGGTTTCTCACTTCCATAGAGTGGTGTAGACGTGAGATGTTTCGAAACTTTGACAGCAAACCTGCCGTTTTCTTGATCAGCACTGACCTCAGCGCTTGATAAGTACTCTGATTTCGCCTCATTTCGTTGCGTCATTGTACCCGGACTCGATGAACTACTCATCCGCTCCGGATCACAACAAACATAGTTCATGGAGCACTCTCTCGTGCAAGGGGGATCTAGCATAGGACATTCAGTAGGACTCGCCTTCGGTGCTGCTGACCTTTGATGAGCAGCCTCGTTTGAGACTTGTGATCCTAGAGGATAAGAAAATCCAACGTGCTCGCTCACAGATGGAGCTATCGAAGCACCGTCCATATCACATCTTGAGTTTGCGAATGAAGTCGAAACAGGTAGCAAGCTATTTGCATCAAATGTGAGCACTCTGTCTGAGGCTTCAGCATACGGATGAACAGTACACTTGTACTGTGATTCTTGTTCATGATGTCCCTGTTGCTGGTGATTCTGTTGAAGGGCAACAGCCGCTGCTGCTGCAGCCGCAATTGCGGCGGCTTGCTGTGCCCTTGCACTGCACACAGATCCAACGTGGGGATGGTTCGTCTCTTTAGGATTAAGGTTCTGACTAATCGATTCCGGCTGATCGACACTTTGCGCGTCCAACGACGTGCAAATCGGTGTATGCTGCTGAGTCACCGACTCGACCAAACTTCGAAACATAGACTCGTTGGTTACGTTGGTTAGCACGTTGGGAGCAGTAGAACAACAGACATCAGCGCTGAAAGACGCACTGGCCCATAAACCGGATGATCCGTCAATCCCAGTGAAAGCCTGATGAGATGGCTGTGTCTGTGTGGAGCAACAGGTTTGGTCCGGCTGCTCCAGTGGCTTTGACGAAACGTCGCCGCTGTTTCCGAATCCTGAAGTTTGTTGTCCTGTGCCTGGGAAGTAGATCTGTTGTTCATAGTCCGCGTAGGGAAGACACCGTCCGTGTGCTGATTTACCTTCAAGCAAGAACGGTGAAGCAAAAACTGATGGTTGAATGAAGTTAATGTTGTCTACTTCGTTGCTTATTGGGAAAGCGGATGTCCCCACATTATTAACTTCTGCATGGGCCATCGTATCCAAAAGTACGCCAGCCACTCCTCTTGCAAAATCCAGAGTGCTGCTTCGCGGAACATGGCTAGATCGTTGTGCAAAATGTTCTCTCGGTTCTTCATCATTTTGCTTAATTTTTATGTTTGTTTGATCGAGATGCATTTTGGATTGAAATGGCCCAGAGGCAATATCCAGCGGGTAGTTGCTTGGTTGTCCAAAAAGGTTGAATCTATATCCATAGTTGGTTGTGTTGTAATTGGGACAAAGCGTTTGGCCGGTGAATTGGCTAGTCATCGAGAAAGGATGGGATAAAATTGGAGGCAAACACATTGTATCGTTGGGTTTCGACAAAGGTACGGAATTCATTCGAGGTGATGTTACGTTCTTGTTCCCACTGTAAACCTCTGTTAGTCTGGACAGATATGGGTAGGGGAAAAATGGGTGCGGGCGCTTCAGACCCAAGGAAGATAAAGACACGGCTCCACCCAAAGAGTGAAAATAATGGTTGGAGTTCGGATTGATCTCGTGGTTGACCTCGTCTTTGAAGGTTCCAATACATTTATTAAGGCTATCTGCATCCGCCTTGTTCGCTGGTTCACGTTTTTCGGTTCGCTCTGAGTTAAATTCTTGGACGACTTCCCCTGGAACATAAAAGAAGACTACTTTAGTTTCTCGTCAGTGATCCACTTGGAAATAACAGTAAATGTATTCCTGCCTGTTCAGCGCTGTGACATCACTACGAACTAGTTTATGACACAGAAAACAACTCATTACTGTTATCGAATTCATTGACGTCTGCCTGAAGATAAGATCACATTAGCCCTAAAAAATGGCATCCGCCATCACATGCTCGAGAAGATGGAAGCTTTATAGATGATAATATACTTCCTGTGTACCTATATCGCTGTTCTGCCTCAGGAGGAGTTCTCCCACACGGGAGCTGATTCACTCAATAGTTCAATTCATCATCAGGCATCATACGGTACACCCATCCAGCCCGAAAGAACCGACCAATTTCAGTAGAAGCAACATAGCTCCTTGATCGTGATGGTTCAATTTGATGCTGACTCTCCCATTGTAAGAGAGTTATGGTCTTTGATAGATGCCTTCTTGAATAATCTGTGTGACCACAGAGCTTTGACGTCTACATAGAGGAACTGTTGCTTTCTTCGTCGACCAAAATTGACACTACAAGAAGATCACCACAATCCGTCCACCCAGACGCACCATGCCCATGATTATCTGGTTTTCGTGCTTGTGGCACCAACTTCCTACTTTTCCTGCTGATACTATTATGGATTCAGTTTGTGGTTGTCTTGTGAGGGTAGGTGATTAGACGATGCCAGATTTCTTTGGGCTTGCTTAAGGCGCATCATCCGGCTCAGTACCCGAAAGCCAGAAGTCCTCACTTCCTATCCGATTGAATGTGTAACAGCTGACTGAGCTGTTGAAAATGATGTGACACTCAGCGGGAGGATATAGCCAGGAACTTCTCATAATCCATAGTTTCATTCACTAGCTAAGTCTCCAGCCTCCACATTACTGGCGGTCAGCTTCACGGACGAGTAAATCCAATTATATTTGCAAACGAGGAAGAGAACTAGGCTTTATGGTTGAGGATAACTACTTCCAACTCTCAAGGGTAAGAAGCAAACTGTAAAGACGTATCATCTTGTTTTAGTGAGAATGCTAAATGACAATCTATCCAATCTATCCAACAGTAAACAGTCGGGTATCAAACTCATCCTCACAAGGATTTCTCTACATGCGAACCAAGTCGCTCAGTTCTTTACATCTATTACACACCACAATTTCCGCTACCAAGATAACACCCAAAACTGCATCAAAGATGTTATGTGTAGAATAATGTATATAATACCGCAAACTAAACGAGCTACGAAATTCACATCAAAATATGAATGCACTTCCCAAAATCCTGAAACATGTTCGTGCTCACAGATATTTTCCCCTTCTACAAATCAGAGAAGATGAGGGATGCAGGGGTGGTGTGATTTTCGAACATGAATGATGGGCACAGAAAATCATAGACGAGACGAGACTTTTTTGGATTTGTCGGACATCCTGGGAAGCAACATAACGAGATCTGGAAGGATTATGAGTTTTGTCATTATTGTCAATATTATTAGTAGTACTATACAGGACACCAGTTAAATTTAGTATCCATGCTTGTCACCATAACGCTGTTCCTCGTGGATGCATTTAAATAATATTTTGTCAAAAACGCCACATGTCAGAGCAAATTAGCCTCACAGTCTACACGAATAGTACACTGATCAACTGGCATGCAGCAGTCGCAGAACGGCCTATGGTGTCATCACGTCCCGAGATTTTGATCCTTTTAAGTGTGTCAAAGTATTTGTTCTTCAAAACAACTCGCAAATCAGCTTTGGTTTTATTCCCATTGGTAACTGGGTTAATGTGTTGGTCCTCTCCAGTGGGTCCCACTCATGTTAACACAAGGACAAAAAAGTGATAGTTTATCAACTTCAAGGGTTGACAAAGAGAAAGGAAGCCTGAACCGCTGCTTCGTTCCTTTGAAAATTTCCTTTCTGTTCTATTTAAGGCACTAGATAGCACTAGCTACTATGGAGGTGATGAGTTAGTAAACTGAAACTGTAATCCAATTCGTAGTACTCCACTGGAACTGTTTTTCTACAGATATTACGTCTGAAACACCTCTACCTGTTTGTGGTTTCGATATGAAATGTTTCTGAGCCTCTGTCGCTGGCTCCAGATGACACGAGATTCGGACCAAGGCCGAAGGTTTTGATACAGGGCCATTAAAACCCACGATATTTTGTATTCTGTAGTTCAGAACTACTTTCGCTTCTCGTTTATCTTTGATACGTCTACTCGACATATTGACATATTTTTCACGCTTCATTGCATAACATATACTTGCACCTGAATTGGAAGCCTTCCCAGGTTAGTAACTAAGCCAATCAGCAACGGTGAATGGCTGAAAAAACTGAAACATGCTTTCAGATATTGGAAAATCTAGTGGTGCTGTTCGCAGATATGAGGAGAGAACGGGACAACCTGATGGTTCTAGCCTTACAGCAATGGGAGCTGGTTTTTGCTTCGTCCCGTGGAAGTGTTAAAATTTGTTCTGCTTTCCTTCTACGCAGGGACCCAGTGTGGTACACAACCGCAACATATATGGCTTCCAAACTGAGTAGGTAGCTGATTTGGAACGAAAATGACGAGGTGGTTTATCTTGTCACACCTATTCGAATATCTTTCAGCATCTTCAGACCAGCTGGTCAAAGCTCTTTTTCATAAACTCCCAGTGTGTTTTTCAGTTGTATCTATCATCTGTTAAACGGATATCAACTGAATGTAACCTCTACGACTGGAATTGTGGTAACAAACACGAATGGTATTTTGGTTTTTCTCATGGTTTTTTGGACGAACCTTGTCGACTAAGGCCAGCCAGATAGTACAGCGGTGTCTGTTCTCGACAAGCATGCAACCCAAAGGTTGATGGCTATTCATTTGTGTATTGTCAAGCAGCTTCAAAGGCAAATGTAGTATGTGATCGATAATCACTTTGTCCTTGTGTTAGAAGTAGGATTATCGACAAGTGACCTCGGAAAACCGAGTTGCAGCATGCGAGTTGTCACCACCTGAGATCAAGAAAGTTTAAAATCTCATGAGTGTAAATTCACCAGATTGATGAGGAAACTAATCTAGTCAGATATATTCTGAATGCGTGTTTCAAACCTGACCACTGTTGTCCCTCGGATTAGATGCCAGTGTGATATGCACGGACCATTCGCTATGTTGCGCACCACACATCAAAAGCCCGAAGATGGAAAGAGCTCTATGAATGAATTAAATGCTCACTGTCCTTTGATTCCAACTTTTGGAGAATTTGCTAAGAAACCTGCAAGAAATTTTTTTTCTGGCAACAGGTGCAACTTGTTTGTTTTCAGTGCAAGGTCGGTAATACTCGCTTTTTCCGCATCCGGCATTTTCCGCTAAACAGCTGCGAATTACTGCTTCCTAGATAATACTCCAGGAATTTTTCAACGACAGCTGACCGATTTTCTGTTTGACGGACAAGTCCAAATTTCACAACGCAATATAACTAGCGCAACAACTGTTTCGGAATTCAAGCCCCACTGTCTTACGAGAACCATAAAAAGCTAATTAAGGATGGGCGGCCTCCAGAATTGCAAAACTGATGCGTCATGAGTTCTTATGTTGTAGGTGGGGCTTTCAGAACACCACAGTAAACGGTTTTCTTAACTGTGTCAAGGCTCAACCTAATAAGTATTCTTACTAGTGACAGTACACAAGTGTTGCTTCCTGCCTCGTTGAACTGGATACAGCTGTCACGAGACTTCTTTGAGTTAGTCTCACTAAGTCAAACGAACGGAATACCACCATCCCAATTGTTTCAAAAACTCGGTTCTCACCATCAACTAGACTGTAGCAAAGTAACGCTCTCTGTTTACCTGTGAGTTTAGCTGCTCTAAAAGATCCACAAATAATTACCATCCGACAATTCAGACTAGGCGTGATGATAATGACACCAGTGCACAACGACATAAACACAGAAATTTTGTAATCGGCTGCTGTTCTAGGAGCCTTAGAACAAACTGCATACCTACACCAGTCTACGCTGCTACTTCCCTACAGTAACACTTTTAGCGGCGCTTCCCCCTTCACTGGTGACCTTCAGCTCATCGCCTCATTTTATCTTATCGAAGATACAGTCACATCCTTACCCTACATACATTGAATGTGCAGTAAAACCAGGACAAATAGAATCCATGACATTCCCTTATATGCTAGAAAATTCTTATTGTGGACAGCCAGTCAAGACCTACAGAGCGCCTATGAGTGTGGGACAATTCTCCAAGCTGTCCTTCCATAGGATGAGCGCATCAAGGAGAGGCATATTACTCTGTCCATTCACTCTGCCCATTCTTGCGGGGAATACTTTGCAGCTCATATAAAGTGTTGTTTCAGAAGAGGGGAACAAAATTATGCTGAGGGTTTTTAGAAATAGTGTGAGGTTCTCGATCTCGGAAATGTAGCGTTTTTCGACAGATAGGATATATTTCATCAACTTCACTAAAGAAAGTTATCCTCTAAACACGATACAGGAAAGGTAATAGATAAGAGTAGCGCTAGCCGATAAGAATGGTATCGTCCTAATTACCCCAGTCATTATAGATTTTGAAACCAATGTCTAAACGTGGGTTTCAGTTAATTTCACTTTTAAGAAAATAACAAAAAAAGTACCACTAGATACAAGAAGCATGGTGAACAAAGCTGAAACATCTATTGCTTAAGGGACGTATTTTAAGGAACGCAAGAGTCCGCTAGTGGCACGTGCACTCAGGCCTTCCCGGGGACTGCGAAGATGCACATGGACGGCGTCTACCATAATATTGGCAAATCTGGATTATATGCTTTAGTAGACAACTGGATGAAAGGAAAAACCACACTAGGTGATCATGATTAGCTGTAAGACTAACCACATTTCTACTGCTCCCCATTACAGCCTCGCTTTTCTTCACGTGACAGCATCACGCACACGTGAGGAAGGCTTACCTAAATCTTCAAAACGACCAACATACATGTCAAAGGCTAAAAAGTTTCGAAGAGTCTCTTAAGGCTATTCTCGAAGAACAACTGGTGGACAGTCAATGTAAGTCACAGATATAGAACTGAAACTTGCCCGAAAAAAGTTGGGTTCAGTTTTCTGGCGCACAAGTGCAGTTTTGATAAGAATCAATCGATGGCTGAAGACCAAACCTAGTTTCATTGTCCCAAAGAGCACGAAAAGAGCGTATTTCCATCCAACATGGGCAACCCATTACACATCATGACTTTTTGTGCCGGTATGCTGTGTGGTGAAATATTGCCTTGTGCTCGCCTTTCACCAGAAGCGTCGAACAACGGAAAACCTCAGAATGCAAACTTTAGCGTTTCGGATAGTTGTTGTCCAGGACCATTTTTGCACCTAAACCTCAAGCCTGAGGGGTGGTTAGCCACACTGACTTTGCTTAGGGTGTCTAAAAAAATAATGGGCGACTTAGGAAAACAAGTTGACCAAGCTGTTTTAAAGAGGCTAAGAACTCACTTAAATCCTTTTCGTTTGATTTCCTTAGAGAAATTAAAATACATTGTTGACAAGTGCAACACCTGTAGGGACATGTCTTCTTATGTCCTTTCCAAGGGTTACTCCGACCGTGATTCCGACAACGACGGCAATGTGGCCCCTCATCTTCACCAGATCCATCCAGTCCGGTGTGTGGATTCTTCAGCGGTTTAAATGCGTAACCGTCTACCGCTCGAAATTTGTCCAGCGGATCGAGGCTACGTAGCATAGTCTGCTGACGTATCAGACTAGTGGTAGCCAGCGAGTGGGTCTTTTGATCACGGTAAAGCGCGATCTGTTTGGCTACGATCTGACGACCTCGATTGACCAGTGAACACACAGCACAACTACAGCTACGAAATGGACAGTTCCTCTTGTGCTGTTTAACTGGAAGCAGTTTTCCATGGGCTCTGCATTTACGACACATGTAAGAAGAACGAGAGAGTGAACTGCATGCGCCGGTGCTGTAAGTCTGCGTGGTGTCGTAAGGATTTGGTTCATCAGAAGAATCTTTTCTTTTTGATTGACTGAATTTCGTACCACGGGATGATCCGTTAACAGCCCGAGAAGAGCTCCTTGTGGCATGATGTCCGAAACGCTGCTCATGCCTAGAGTATGTCTGTTTCACCGCGGATTCTGGTTTCGAGGTTCCACCGTCTACGTCGAGGAGGAGACCGTTGTTCCGGCCGGAAAGGATGTTGTAGTTGGGAAATACTGTGAATGTTGTTGCCGCATTGAAATAGGCTGGCTCCAGTGTTGATTCGCTGCAACAAAGAACCAGATATTTCCATAACAAGGAACAGATGGACTACACGTGACAGATCTAATGCAAAACTTTTCACTGGGATTCCCAGAGGAACATGAAGCGGTCAATCTGTGCGAGGCTTGAAAAGACATGCAATGGTGTGTACCGTGTGCGTTTTGGAGACCCTTGCCCTAGCCCATGCTTACCAAATCCCACTACACGAAAACCCAAGGATCGGTTTCAAGGTTTGAACAGCTACTTGTGTGTCATTCACATTAGTAAAAAAAATTAGTGCAGATAATACACCTTTTCGGTGGACAACCCGAAGTCAACCGATGGAAACACAGTAACCAACAAGATGTCTAATTGCACAAGTCCAGAAAGGCAGAATGGGTTAGCTTCGAACCAAGAGCCTTTGGTCAAGTACCTCACACTTCAACCACCGGTATACCTCTAGGTCTCCCGTTTCTCAGCAAACCACCACCGTTTAGAGAGGAGAATGTCCTCCTCTGTCGCCTTTTGTAATCAACCACCCAAGATGCACTCACTTACGTATCGGTAACTCCAGCATCATTTGGAAAGCCCACTGTATAGGCCTGATTCCGGCTAACTGAGACGTATATTGATATATTGGGCTAGTTACATGCAAGTGTTGTGATCATATGTGAATAAAGAAGGGAGATAAACTTTTGTAAGCATTACTTTGACCACACCATGTTTGCAAATAATGTGCAACATTTCCCTCAAAAAAAACGTTCGCTCACAGGGAACTGCGTAATATATCAGGAAAACCGGTTTGATTGTGCCTGCCTAACAAAGATGATCCAACTAGTGAATTGCTAATAAGAAGCTCGCAAATACCTTTCGAAAAATTCTTTACAGGGCTTCTAAATATGTCCTTTACAAGCAGCCCACTAATCAGACCAGATGTGAATTGCATCCACCACGTAAGCGCACATAGATGTACACCTATCAGTATGCTTACTCCTGTAGACAAATAATGAGACAACCTCCCTGCTGAATACCTGAACATTTCGCGAATACCATCCTGGACGAACAACAGAGTACGACTGCTAGCTCTGTTCTAACGCATTTACTGAACATGCAACATCATGTTAATGCAAGAGCTTTCAAACCGATAACCTTGCCGAATTAGCACATTTGAGGACGATTCACCCTTGTTGCTCCTTCTGTCCAAGCTCTTTTTGCGAATAGATAAGTCAACATTTTACTCCTATTACGGGAAAGGTAAGTTTTGTGTCATTCGCAAGACAGACTCTATAAAACTGGTCAGCTGATTCCCAGTAGGTCTCGATTCATTTTATTGGCAAAATTACTGAGCGCTGCAAGATTCACTGTGCCCATTTTACTGAAGTACACCTCAGGAGAGCCCCAACCGCTGCCGAATATCATGACTTTTACAAACCAAGCTCAGTTTCTGGAACTGGATAATCAGGCGGAAATAAGCTTGATACGAAACATTATTCGAACGGTTTCCCACCAATCTCTGACCCGGCATGGTAAAAAAACTCTTTGAGTATTGACACCTTTGCGCACTGAAACCATTACTGAGAAAAACTGAATACTTTCAGTTGACCGTCCTACACTTCAGGCTTACAAACAGCACGGTCGGAGGCCTGAAACTCATACGGGAAGGTAGGACGAGTGTTCCGTAGTTGGAGGTAACATTAAGCACTGGTTGGTTTAACCTACGACTAGGAAAGACAATAGAAAAGGAAACTAGACCCCACACCATCAGAACTAATAGGATGACGGATTAATTATAGTCTTTGTTAGGCGAATTCACCAGTTAAATGCTTAGACGTAATTAGACGTGAAACTGTTCACTCCCAGCAAGTTATAACAGAATTCCTGTATGAAAGCGCCGACATCCGGTAGGTTGGCCGAAGGTCTTACGTAAATTATGACGTACTACAATAAAACACCCAATTATTCTCCTAAATTTTTGGGGAGAAGAATTTGCGCAGACCCATACTTTACTGTTGTTTCCACCAGCAATCTGAGAACTCTATGAATGGGAGATGTTGATTCGAACCTGAAGGGCTATATCAAGATGAAGATGACCACTGGTACGGGGTGCAAGATGGCTCAGTGGTTAGAGTACGAATTCACTGGCTGGAAGGTCCGTGGCTCAAACCGGATCTCTGCCTCTCGACTTCCTTTGTCTAGGCTTGGGCAACTTGGCGGTATCCCAGCCCTCGTGCTTCCTTCTGATGGCATGGTAGTTAGGCATCGAAAGGCTGCTGCAGCTGGACGATCGGCCACTGATATGTGGGCACAGAGGTTGTGCTTGTTGTAGAGGGATTTGTCGTCATCCGTTAACACGGAGGAAAACGGATGCAATATTGCTAACAGTAGATGAATGATGTACAGCTTTTCCGTACTGAGGATTTTGTCGAGGACTCTCACAAAACACCTGAACCTACAAATATAAAAAGGTATATAATGGGTACCAGCTTGCTTCTGTTACTGTACATTCAAAAACCATTCATGAAGTTCCGTATTTCTTTCACCCTCTTTAGTAATAACAGCTGAGATATCAGAGGCGAAATTGGCACTGGCTGTTTGCATGTTTTCAACCTAGTTAGAAAATTGTGGCATGCAAATGGAGAAAAACTAACACTAGTTATTTTGGCTAATTTTACGGGAACTTTGTCGACCTACTCGCTACTTTTTATCCTGATGGGTTTATTCGGTAACTTGAATACCATAGCATGTATCCCATTATTGGTGCCGAGTTATTCGAGTGACAATCGATACATGCGTGTTGATTAACTGCCCTGAACACTGAACCTTGCTCATAATGCAAGTAACCAAGCCTGGCTACAAGAAACTGTACTATGTACGTGGAATTCTTTGCATCGGCGCAGTGAATTTTTCGCAATCACTACTACAAACAGCACAGAAGTTAATATTTCTTGCGGGTGTGTGACGAATTACAGTACCAGACATCGTTGTATACAAACTGTTGGTGATATCACCAATGCTCATGAAATTCCGGAAGTACCTGACCACGTTCAATATGCCTTGAAGGAGCCGAATATCTAGTTGTGTGTAGTACCATTATCTACCAGTTGTTGAATAGGTCAAGATCTCAGAATTTTCACCAAGACATCCAGCAGACATATCAAAACGGTTGGAAGATTATATCGAAGGTTAGTTGCCTGCAAGCACCACCGTCACATGTAACTCACTCGCTGTCTTACAATGCCCGTGCGGATCAGAAGAAACAGGGGCTGAAAACATGACACAAACATCAGTGTAAATCAATCCTAAGTACTGTAGCTCCTAGCAGGATATCATGGCATCGGTGCATCCCGTTGAACTGGAAGCCCTTTAACCGCAAGCCGAATCGAACTACAGCCATTCCAAGTGCTTGTCCTGAGTTGAAATCTCATTTCAACCTACTTTTAATCTTCTCCTGTCTGGTTTGCGCGAAACTGGTAAACATACTGCGTAATTGATCGTCGTTTGTTCGAAAAGGGAACCAATAATACAAAACCATTATTTCGGAGGGCTGACCTACGACCAAACAGTACAAGTTTCATGAACCCAGGTCTTAATCAGAGTTCGTAATAGCAACAATTCAATGCTTGTCCACAAATAACGTTGGTAGGTAAGATAAAGAGTATCAGCACTCTGTTAATACGTCGTCAGAGTCACTCAGAATGCTTAATTTTCAAAATTGTACAGGTTGTATCATGTCACGTTGTTGTAACGCTCGTCGGACACAATGAGACCAGGCACGCTCCCCTGGTACTTATTATCCTCTAACCAAAGACTACTGTTAAAAACAAATGTACTACACCGCAGCTAATCTGAACACGAGATACACGGAAGAGTAGCTTTGACTGCCCCTACTTCTCTGGATGGAATTACGAAAGAGACTAACCGTAGTTGGGATGATCCACTCTTCAGTTCTGTCCCCTGTTTGCAGTCCAACGATACTGAACTCCCCGTCACTACCGACTGATTCCCCATCAGCTGACGCCCATCACCAGCCACTTGGTTGTTGCTCCCACTAGTGTTTCGTGAAGTGAACGAGTCAGCTGTCAGACCGTTACCCTGCAAGGGATCCTTTTTAAAGGGAATGGATGAGGGGCTCTGGTATGTAATGGACAAGTCTCCAGTGCATATCTTCTCTGTTGTCGTCAGCTTGGCAGCCAGAACGTTTTGGGGAGACGTAAGCACAAAATTCTGATGGGCTTCCGGATCCAAATGAGTTGACAGCAATGAAAACTCATTGGAGCCGAACAAGTTCTGGTGTAAAACATTATCTCGCGTATCGCTGGTAAAAGTGTTCGAAGAAGCATACGAAGAACCTCTGTCTAGTACTGAAGCGGATAAAATGGATGAAGGTAGTGAAGCAAATGCGGCTGGCAAAAAGGCTGGTGCATCAGCAGTTCTGTCCGATGTCCCGAAGATTGAAGCAAATTGGTCACATGCGGTGGAAGCTTCGGTGTCACAGTCTGTGACAGTTTTGTCCAATGTACTACACACAACAGGTAAGATTGACTCATCTCTATTGCTTCTCACCAGGGTAGTGGGATTTGTAGATCCGCCGTTAATGGTGTTTGCGATCAAATCACTGCCATTTGTAAGATCATCTCTTAGGTCCAAACCACCGAAAGTGGAGGTCGTTGGCTGGGTACCTGGCAGAATGTATATACCGGAGCTCATTGTCTAACGTTCGGTACTTGTGTGAGAAACAGAGACAAATTGCTACTCCACCTGTATGTAGCAACTCTTTTGTTTGACAGCGTCTGCTGCAACAGTCATAGGTTTGGAGAGTATGGGGCGCATACGCGTGCGCTGTAGCTTTTGGCTTTACTTGTAACCTTCTGTCAGTGCTTTCGTTCGTGGCTGTTGGACTTTCTCTCGGCCTCGACAATCGCGGAAACTGTTACGCCGTATTTTGTGTATCACTCTGATTGTTGTATTGTTACAATCTCTGCTTCGGCTAGGACCAAACACAGGAGCAGTTAGTTGATTGTGCAAGTTCACGGTGTAGGCAAAAATAACGTTTTGTTTCTGATTCGGTTGATAGTAGCTGCCGAGTCACGCAGGCACAAATAAACACGCACGCACGGTCTGTACCCGAACGGTAGCGATCGGTTGGCTCGTGCGACGGATAAGCCTATCAGAAATTAAATTTGTTTGGGGTACATAGGAGGACAGCGGCGAACACCTGCGCGTGATTCCACACCACATGAATTTGTGACCGTTTCCGGTTTCAGTGTGTCCGTGTCGAGAGCGCGGAGGGGGCGTTAGAGACTGCATTGTGGTTCGTTCTTCTGACCAATGGCACTGAAGCAGTGGCGAATGGTTCTGCCCCCTGTCGATAAGCCCTGCATGCGCACACACGATAGAATGTCTGGGGAGAGCGTGGAAAAAGAACTGCACGTGTCATGCATGCGTATCGGAAGTCATACGGCCGGTTAGTAGGTTTGTACTTGAACAGGTGTGTATGGATGCAAAGTATCGAAACCAACAAAGCAATCAATCCCATGAACCTCGCATTGATTCTCCAGTGTTTCACTCACACAAACCAATGTATATGTATGTATGCGGCGTGAATAGTCCAATCCGTCTCATCAGCTCGCCACATTGTTGCAGATTCACGTGTCAGACGATGTGCGATTCGTAGTACAACAAAGTTTGTCGAATAATTGTCCGGGCATAATCGACCACTTGAAATTCAGTTGGAGTTATGCACAAACCTAGCAGCTAGCCACAGGTCTCGGTTCTGTTCTTGGGTAATTTCAGAGAACTCGATTGTATCAAACGCGGTGTATCGAGTAGCATGCATGAATTATTGTCAACAGAAAAAAGAGACCCGGCTCTTGATACTCTCCTCACTCCACAAGTGAACTGAGCTTTTCCCGGGGAGTGGAACTGTCGTTTCACTGCTGGAGAGGGTATAGGATCGGGTTGTCGGGTAGACGGACATCCAATAAAGCAACCGAAAACATCTATTTCTCGAGTGTGTCCGAGCATGCTAAGGTCAAACGTTTCGAAGTTTGGGGAAAGGTCTGTCTATCTCGATAATCCCTGAGCCAGTTAGAACACGTACGGTGTTCTGTGTCCTCACTTTGGGCGTGAGAGCTCCAATAAGGAACCATTACCAGTAAAATTGTGTCTAGTTTGAACATTTCCCCGCGTCTCGCATCCAGTGCGTCCGTCCGTTTTCAGCTGTTGCACCCTGTTTCACCTGCATGAAACTGCACGCTGTCCATACATGAAAGGTCACGTTCCAGGCGGACATGAGGTTTCAGGATGGCACAACGAAATTAGGTTGTGATGCAGAATGGATACCATATGAAAGGTTATATATATATATATATATATATATATATATATATATCGTATTAGGTATTTTGGTCTCCGCGCAGGACCCGCGGCTACATCATTCACGATGACACTTGGATTTTTCGCCAATGGCTGCTTATAGTATGTTAGCATACCGGGATCAGTAGGACTGGAGCTCATTGGAGCTGAGTGTCTTAATCGTATCTGTTGGAACTGAAGAGTGTCCAGCTAGTGTGCTGTTTTGTTGCAAACATCGCACACATATAGCGTTCGCCGAGTTTGATGTCCAACATGTACACCTTGGAAACACTCTGTCCATACGTGTTAGGTTACACAATAGCCCGAAGCGACTGATGCAACTCGCTATTTGCAAGTTGGATTCCAGACTAAACTCGTAACTGATCTACTCGCTTCTTCCGGAGCCATAGTGAATCTGCTTCCATAACAGGGTGACTCCATCATCTAATAACGTGTTTTCTGGTCTGACGTTTGTTTTTGGGGGTGCCCGGGGGGAAATTACTTACTACGATCACCGACAAAATGCCTAAGAATATATATANTATATACATATATATAGTACTTCTCTCACACCAAAATCTGCTCCATCCTCTGGATGAGAGTTATGCATTGATAAGTGTCGCGCGCAGTGATGAAAATCGCTTATTATCTCAAAGCTGTGTGATTCCCTCCAGAAGATCAGCTAACTTATTTTCTGTGAATGGCTCTTGGGTTAAGTAGTTGCACTTAAATAAAATTGTCAAATCTGTTTGCTTTTCTGCATGTTTTCTTTTTTGAACCTGTTTAGGAAATGGTTTTGTAAATGTGGGATGTTACTAACTACTAACTTTCAAACTAATCATCACAGATGTTAAGAGTTCTCAAGCTGCTTCGTGAGTGATTTGTGGAGGTGATCCGCATTTTGAGCCTCAACTGATTTCGACAGTCCAGTAGCCCGTTGTGGGTTTGCAAACCAAATTTGTTTGCAAATGAGTGTATTTTGCTACTTTTGTGTAATTTGGGTTCAAGTAGAAGATAAGGTTGACGGAAACTCAGGGATTGCACCTATCTGATGAGCCCCAAGAAGGGCGAAACTGTTTGTGAACTGTCGAAGGGTTTTCGGTAACTTTATGAATAGTGGGTTACGTTTAGGTTCTCTTTCAAATTTGCTTGATACGGGATAATGTATAAATGCTTTTTTAAACGCCCTCGAAAACTGTGCTCCACCATGGACACTGTTTGGTCCATCTAGGAAGATTGAGCTTAATGAATGAACGAAGTTTTTATCGGTGAAGAAATATCAATACTGTGGGCTCTCTGTAAATAAACTTGGACAAGTGGCAAAACAAAACATACTGAAAAAAAACCCAGAGCTGCTGAAGGTTAAGTGGTCTAACTTCGGTTCGGCTGGACAACAACTGCACAACCTAGATACATTTTTGACACTAAAACGCATTGCTTGCTGGAGCTCACATTACGTCACGGGCGTGAATTTTTTATTGTAAGGTATCATGGGAGTTCAGTTCCGGTGGATTCCCCAGCAATTCCCAGTCTCTCCGCCAAACAAAAAGTTGTACTAGAATATCCGTTGGTAAATACTGCGGCGTATTACATCAAATAGAATGGGATGAACATAGTGTTCCGACAGGTGTGAATGCCTGGACTAGGTTATGGTCTTCGTTACCAAATGTAATAGACCTCTGGCACAAAATCTATCTCACTTGTGTACAACTTTGCTTCCAAACGGAAGTGAGGATTGGCTGCGTTTTTTTCAATGTTAGTTTGAAATTGTTGGTATATCTATCAGGAAGGTGGTATCATGAAAACTAAAAAAGAGAAATGCATCCGGTTGTAGGAGCGACAGCCCGAGAGAACGACTTTTAAAAAGAACCACAGCCATTAGGTTCCACGAGCGTCGCTTTACCAGCTACTCCCGTTTTCTTAAAATCAAAGGTTAGCATAAGTGCCCATCCATTTTTCCATTTTAACTTCCCGAATGAGGTCCAGTTTGTCCCTTTCTTCCTTGGACTCCATAGGTCGTGATACTTTTGAACTCCATGTCAAAGTGGCATTTGTAGTCGGATGACATGTCGCTGGAAAGCATCCGCCAATTATGTTTGCAATTTGACACGTGATCATCAAGAAAGCTGTTTAGAAATGGCTGCTTGTTAGATCATGTTATTGGTGTGAATGAATCAGTCGAAACACGAACAGATTACAGTGGGGTTGGTAGAGAAATTGAAACTTTGGAAGTAAGATTTTCTTCTCACATTGATTCTCCTCGTAACGATAACCACTTAGACACAATTCGTTTAAGATAAGAAGACTAATCTTCCGTTCTTTTGAGACGCAGCCCACTTGAACAACTATTACCACTTCAATGTAGTCATATTAGCTAGCATGTTTGCGAATTTGCATAACGGAGAATGTAACAACGTAACGTAACAACGAACATGAATTGTTTGGTAGGTGTCGATCTATAACCGGATGTCCATTCACTCAGTGTGGGATTTTCGGTCATATCCGTACGGATAACTGGTCTCAGTCCCTCAGAAACAGAAGTCTGGTTAGTAGTAAAGAAGACATCATACTGAACTGGGGAAGGATTTTATGCTGAAAACAGTTTCGGTGGGGAAGCATAGAAAGCGATCAGGAAATGTAAATAACGACAGCTTAAGAATGAGTCGTTGAAGAGGGGAATTACCATGTTTTGAATCGCAGAGGGTCCTGTTTAAAATTGTTCATAGTCGTCCATGTAGAGCGACTCACATGGTAAGAAGACCAGAACTATCAGATACTGTTTAGATGCTATATAATCACAGGCAGAAGAGGAAGTAGTCACTTACTCAATCCTGCGCTGACGATATCACCTCGATTGGTGATGAAACGTTTCCAATCCAACTACCAAGCTCGGCGAACAGACCAACAACCAACCACACAATCAGTTGTAGGAACATTTCTCCCTACATTGCTAAACATAAAGCAGGTGGACTACAAACAACTGACAAAAATTCGAGCATTTCGTGTTTGCATTCGGAATAAACGTGTCCACAAATGAATTACCAGTGTATTACATCTTTTAGATTCATTTTCATTGTACGACGCAATAGCAGGCTCATGCACGGTGGAATTCAGCTCGTTACCTGGTGAGAAATTGATCGAGAATGGGCTGATGTGGGTGTCAGCTTTGAAGTCTTGTTCGAATTGTTGAATACTGCCCCACATACTACATTTTACTGGTGACAAACTCGGTGATGCGCACGATATGGTTCTAGGCTCTCCCTTTCATGACCCTGTGGATGAATACGACACATGAATGCACTCTGTACTGTAGAACCTTTGAATTAAGAACATCGCATAGTTAAATACAGAAC